CCCATGAAGAATAACTTCGATTGTCGTGAGTGCTTGCTTCATCATCTCCACCAATCTTTGACCTTGCTCCATTATTGATTTTCAAGAGCTAACAATAATAAAAAAATAAAAACACAAGAGTTTTTTCTTTTTCTTTTTCTTTTCTCCCACGTACAACTTTGTGGCTGTATAACAAAATTTTTATTTGACTTTTTCCCTTTTTTAACTACTCACGTGAACAACAACAATAAAAATGAAAAAAAAAATCTCTAACGTGAAAGGAAACTAACTCAAACAACAATTCCCTTTCTTTTCTTTTTTTACCGCAATCTGCTCCACTTTTTTTTCGATGCTTTTTCTTAAAACCTTTCTAGAAATATCTCTTACAATAAATAAATAACTGATATTGAAATACCTTTTTTTTGCCGCTGAGTTTGAACCGATAATCTTCAAATCATCACTGAGTTTGAACCAGACTCTGATACCACTTGATATGATCCAAATCCGAAGAGAACCCTCGAACTCGGATTATATGACCAAAGTACGTAGTCTTCCCTTTTTTTTAAAGGATTTTCGAAACTTTTCTTGAATACGAAATAAAGATAGATGCGGAATCCATCGGACAATCCTAACTCGTGACAAAGGGCAATTGATATAGGGTAGATGCTCGCCACAACTAGACGTGTTCTCTCCTTATTGAGCCCTTCCCTACGGGAGCAGATCCGGTGAGTAACCTTGTGGTGAGTAACTCCATGCATAGCCCAATAAGAATCAGCCACATCAGCGCCTCCTTCTCTCCTGGAAAAATCATTAATTTTCTTTCCCTTAATCTTTAACGGACGATTTCTCACTCATTTTAACTCGTAATTTAATTTTTTTGAATAGTTAGATTAGATTAATTGTGCTATTCAAAATGATATCCACTTTAATATTTTTTGGAACAAATTTTTTTTCTAGTTATTACCAGTCTATACCATATGGTATTGGCTGATATTAAATAACAGCATACCATATGGTATGAAAATATCAGTCAATACCATATGTTGTTATTTAATACCAGTCAATACCATATGGTATTAAATAACAACATACCATATGGTATGAAAAATATCACCTCATACCAGGGTGGTATAGTATGGTATGGAGTTGGTAACGAGAGATTTGAAATTTTTTCCCCTAGAAAATTTTGAAATCCATTAGATCATGATTAAATCGTTCCTTTTGTGCAAAAATTTCCGAAAATGACTAAACAACGAAGGAAATACCATATGGTATGGAGTTAGTAACGAGAGGGATGCAATTTTTTTTCTCAACAAATATTGAAAATGGATATCATTTTGTAGAGTACAACGAACTCGTTCCATCTGTGCAAAAAAAAAAAAAACAAATTGAAATCGAGTTATAATGAAGAAGATATGATCCAATTAAAAAACTAGGGAAAATAAATTCCTTTAATTCTCCACCCTTAGGTCTGCAGTCACTTAAACGGAGGGTCCAGATTTGGTTACTCATTGTTACTCACCATATCTTGAGCCCTTCCCTACCTACGGGAGCAGATCCGGTAAGTAACCTTGTGGTGAGTAACTCCATGCATAGCCCAATAAGAATCTGCCACATCAGCGCCTCCTTCTCTCTCCTGGAAAAATCATTAATTTTCTTTCCCTTAACCTTTAACGGACAATTTCTCACTCGTTTTAACTCGGAAATTAATTTTTTTGAATAGTTAGATCAGATTAATTGTGATGTTCAAAATGATATCCACTTTGATATTTTTTGGAACAAATTTTTTTTTCCAGTTATTACCAGTCTATACCATATGGTATTGGCTGGTATTAAATAACACCATACAATATGGTATGAAAATACCAGTCAATACCATATGGTATTAAATAACAACATACCATATGGTATGAAAAATGCCACCTCATACCAGGGTGGTATAGTATGGTATGGAGTTGGTAACGATAGATTTGAAATTTTTTCCCCCAGAAAATTTTGAAATCCAATAGATCATGATTAAATCGTTCCTTTTGTGCAAAAATTTCCTTAAATGACTAAACAACGAAGGAGATACCATATGGTATGGAGTTGGTAACGAGATGGATGAAATTTTTTTCTCAACAAATATTGAAAATGGATATCATTTTGTAGAGCACAACGAACTCGTTCCATCTGTGCAAAAAAAATTGAAATCCGAGTTATAATGAAGAAGATATGATCCAATTAAGAAAACTAGGGAAAATAAATTCTTTTAATTCTCCACCCTTAGATATGCAGTCACTTAAAAGGAGGGTCCAGATTTTGTTACTCATTGTTACTCACCCTATCTTGAGCTCTTCCCTACCTACGGGAGCAGATCCGGTGAGTAACTCCATGCATAGTCCAATAAGAATCTGCCACATCAGCGCCTCCTTCTCTCTCCTGGAAAAATCATTAATTTTCTTTCTCTTAATCTTTAACGGACGATTTCTCACTCGTTTTAACTCGGAATTTAATTTTTTTGAATAGTTATATCAGATTAATTGTGCTATTCAAAATGATATCCACTTTGATATTTTTTGGAACAAAAACTTTTTTCCAGTTATTACCAGTCTATACCATATGGTATTGGCTGGTATTAAATAACAGCATACCATATGGTATGAAAATACCAGTCAATACCATATGTTGTTATTTAATACCAGTCAATATCATATGGTATTAAATAACAACATACCATATGGTATGAAAAATACCACCTCATACCAGGGTGGTATAGTATGGTATGGAGTTGGTAACGAGAGATTTGAAATTTTTTCACCCAGAAAATTTTGAAATCCAATAGATCATGATTAAATCGTTCCTTTTGTGCAAAAATTTCCGAAAATGACTAAACAACGAAGGAGATACCATATGATATGGAGTTGGTAACGAGAGGGTTGAGAAAATTTTTCTCAACAAATATTGAAAATGGATATCATTTTGTAGAGCACAACGAACTCGATCCATCTGTGCAAAAAAAATTGAAATCCGAGTTATAATGAAGAAGATATGATCCAATTAAGAAAACTAGAGAAAATAAATTCCCTTAATTCTCCACCCTTAGATCTGCAGTCACTTAAAAGGAGGGTCCAGATTTGGTTACTCTTTGTTACTCACCCTAAGGTTACTCACCCTATCTTGAGCCCTTCCCTACTATCTTTCACTAAGGTTGTGCGAATATATTAAAGTAATCTTGATTTCACTGTTGAAACAAGTTTATCATATGCACCAAAACGGATTCCACATGGTGCTAAAGATCCAGACAGTATTCTTCTCACTCGTTCCTATTTCTACGACAAGAAAAATGAAAGCTCTCGGGTTAGTGGCGTGGAATTGAGCATCCAAATAACAGAAGACCAAGGAGCAACTATCCAATGGTAGGGGTGTACATGGGTCGGGTGGTTCGGGTTTAGTCATTTTAATCACCCGACCAATGCACTACGGTTTGGGAAATATCAAACCCAAACCCACCCAAAAAAATTTAAACCCTACGGTTTGTTTCTAATTGGGTTGGGTCGGGTTGGCGATATTTTTAAGTAAAAACCCAACTCAACATAAAATATATAATTATTCTATATCATAAAAATATTTTATAACTAATTAAAATTTCAAACGAATGAACCGAGGTGAAAGGTATCAAAATTTACAAATGTTGTTTGAATTTTAATAAAATGTGATCTACTTCAACATATGTCTTGTTTTTTTCACAATATTTGTTGAAATAGGCTAAAAATGTTATAAACAAACGCATCCATAATATGTTATTCTATTAAAATTGTACACAAGAAAAAGGATTACGTGAATCATAACTATATTCAATTTATGTCTAAACTTTAAGTCGAAGAATGCATTAGATTAGGGAGACCATGAGAGAAAAACATGCCGAAATATCTTAATTTTCTCATAAGTATATGACTATATACAACATAAATATTTTTTTAGATCCGAACTCATACTAATAGTTGGAACACGGGTTGGGTCGGGTTCTACGGGTTGTGTAATCTAAAATCCAAATCCAACCCAAAAGAGGCGGGTTGTACAAAAGAAACCCCTCACCCAACCCAAAACCTTCGTTTTAGCGATAAATACGGGTGGGTTGGGTCGGGTTGGACGGGTGGGTCGGTTTGCGGGTGTGTTTGTTCACCCCTATCCAATGGGACTTTTAGCGCATTTGGGATTTTCCAGGAATTGATTGTACCCTTTCATATCTAATCTTTGATTCTATTTTCGGCGCCGAGATACTTCGCCATCTGCATAATTTAGTCGCGCCTAACTCGATTTGCATTATATATGAATGTATTTAATTCGGATTCACATATCCCTATTTAAGTTACTAGTCTTGGGAGTTATCTCAATTCAACTTGATGTCTCTGAGAGTAACGGAGGATTCGGCACAACGTGTTACATACACGGTTAGAATTTGGTGGAATGTCGTGGGTTCTGGAATTGTGCTGGTGTAGTCTATGCAGGGCGAGAGATCGCAGCCTGAGTTCGTAGCCGCGAACTTCTTCTCGCGGTCGTTATCTTTGCCACGACTTCGTCTAACGGGGCATGTGATCCACCTAGCAAGACTTTGTTCTCTCTTTGGCGCCTCGTGCTAAAGTTCACGCCCGGAAGTCCCGAGATCACGGTTGTCATCTTCTTGTTGGATTTCTAGACTGAGATAGCTTTACTTCACAGGCTGGATTTCTCGGGCGAGATCCTGCTCCTTTGGCTACGATATTGATGTTTGTTCCTTTTTGCTCCATTTTTCCTACACATTAACCCATTTTCTCCCATTTTTAACTTGTAACGTCAAATGCGAACTAAAATGAAATGATATAACAAAAGGAAGCGATCTAGGCTACAAATGACCTTATATCAATTCAATCATCCTCAAAATGACATAAAAACATCGAATAAATGGATGCTAAATAACACCATTTTGGGTGTTATCAATTGTGTAATAATAAAATAAATTATTAGAATCAATATTGAAAAAAATTGAAGTTTATTAAGGACCATAAATCAAAAGCATACATAATATATTTGTAAGGATTACGTAAAGTTGAAAAATGAAAAAAAATGACATAGGTAGGTACAAGCTAATTCATAATTAACGCCCTTCCTCTCAATGGTACTGAATAAATTTACTAAGCATTAACAACACAATTTTCCTATAAGTACCAGACCCTAGCAGGCTAGCACGGGTCCGCTTCTTTAAACCAGAGATAGAGATGAACAATGCTCTGGAACAACTGAGAAGTATTATAAACTTAAAGTGAACCAAGGCGAATGGAGAGTAACACATGCTCAGCAGTTTCTTCACAACTAGCCCAAGTGCAGCAGATTCAGCTTTAAGTTACCAATGAGGAAAATCATGGGGGAAAAAACCCCATCCCACTTGTTACAATCAATCCAATTCTGGGTCATCGTACAATGAATGGCTTCAAAGCGATGCTCCGCTTCAATACATGTTATATACATACTCGTACTAAAATCGTACACAGTAATACAAGTATACAACATACCTCAAATGTTCCCTCATTTCCCCCCTACAGCTTACCTGGCTGGCCTTTTATACCAAATTCCGGTGCTCCAGAAGGTCGGACAAAACAGTCCTCATTTTATCAACAGAGACGGGTTTTAGCACAACCCCATTCATGCCAACTCTCCGACAGTGATCCTTGGTCGCTTTATCCGAGTTAGCAGTCAGGGCCACCGTTAGAGGCCTCTCGTGGCGCTTCGTGAGCTTTTCATGCACACGAAGAGCAACCTCATAGCCATCATACATGCATACATCTATGAATACCACATGGTGATCTTGGGAGATCAATCGCAAACACTCGTCTCCTGAACTCACAGTTGTCACATCGCATCCCAGGTGCACCAGAAGTCCTTTAGTTACCATTCTGCTAACACTGCAAGTTTACATTTTCCATTCTTATTTATGGGCACAACGAAAGACGGGTGAAATGAAGCTGGAAAACTAAAAAAAATACATAAAACAGAGTTGGAGGATGTTTCTTTGGCATCAGATACTTCGATCAGTTGAAGATTTAGTTGATGATACGTTCAAATTAAAACACATGGAAAGCTCATCCCATCTGAAAAAAAGCAGTACAAGTCGACTTTCACCTAGCTAACCAATTCTTCTGAAATAAAAATAGAAACCGAAAGCAACAACCTCAAACTTCTATGAAGAAACTCTAAATTTTCCAGACTCTTCTGAATTGTGTCCATCCAGCCTCCAATTTTCAATTACTCATATGGAGCCACATGTAACTATCAACTCAAACACAGTCTGAGCCCCACAGTATAGTCCTATATTATTTTGTGGGATGGCTGCTATGGTGCACTCGTAGAATTGTTTGTATACTAAGCCCCCAAACCTAAAATTCGCTTTCAATCATCCAATTTTAAACATTAATTGCTGGCATTAGTCTAATATTGTGTGGGATGACTTCTACGGTGCACTCACATAAATGAGTGGATACTATGCACCCAAACCTAAAATTAGCCTTCAATCATTAAATCTAAAATTTTAATTGTCAACAATCAGTAGTAGTCTAATATGATGATATAACTTAGAACTACAACTAACACATGCATTATCGAAAGCCCTACACCTCAAATTTCTAAACCCAAAAACCCTGAGCCCTAACCCTAGACCTTTAAATTACAAGTACATTATAAATGAACTTCGTGCAAATTCATTCATCCTTTTGTTTTTGTTTTTTGTTTAAATAAAGATTGACATTGTTTAGATGTGAATCATCTACACAAAATGACGATAATGAGACGGGTGCAAAATATTCACCAATAATGCGGGTGTAGTGAAGACAAACCTATATTTTGTGGTTGGCTCACGGTCTAGAACAGATATCGGTGCACAAAATAATCGAAGAATAAATCCAACCCAAGGTCTTCCCAGGATGATTCCCCACATACAGCCTTCGAATATATCAGGAAGAAACTTAATTTTATATGAGTCAACCATCATTAGTCCATTGGATCTTTAAAATATAGAAAGGGACACATGTCCTATGCAATCTATCCTCACTTTGGATTGTCTTGGAAAGCTTCTGGTGAACATAACAGTCTTTTGCAAGTATCGTCTCCTAGTAGGTGGAATAATATATATGACCTATATTAGGGTTTAGGGAGCAACGGTTCCTTGAGACTTTCCTACATGAATGACTGCAGTTAGCACGCATGATTTCTGAAAATATGATGGTCCTAACAAGCCCCAAAATTACTCCAGTCTAACAAACAGTTCCCCAAGACTTTCAGCTATGCCCTTTGCTCCTGGCATTTTTCTTTGTCTTTATATCAAATTAGGAACTAAAACTATTCAATGTTAATAATCATTGAACAAATCTTAGCTAACCCATTGCCCTATTTATTTCGATATGTACTCCCAAACACATGAAAGAAGAGATAAAAACGAGTAAAGATGTCTAGCATTTTCTACCAGAGAAGTAAAAAAGAAAATCCAGCTTATCTTTCAACAAAAGCAACAAATAGTGGAGAACAATGTAGATTTGAATCACTCTTTCATGACTCGCAAAGTACAGCATTCAAATCTTCTTCTATGCAGGACCTAATTACATTGTGAAGCTCAGTTCCGCATTAAGGCATTTGGACAAGCTCGTGTATAAATTAATTTATGATGTCCAAATATATATATATAAAAAAGGCTATACAAGCTTTTATATCACTTACCCGTTGTCATCCATCACCATAACTTTGAGTCCAGGAAAGGCAGTTTGAGCATGGTTCATTGATGCATTAGTTGCAGGAGGCAGCTTAGACTCAGTACAGCACTCTGTGACCCCAAGCTTGACCATAAATATTGCAGTGCAGCCTTTACCCAAGCCCTCACTTTCAAGCCATATATGTCCATCCATAAGATTTACAAACCTGATCACAAGCATGTGAAGGGGTGAACGCATCAAGAGCATGTATGATCATTTCTAAATTCCCTATAGAATGACAATAAAGATGGCAACCAGAGTCCAATGGATGGTGCAAAATGGAAGAAAGAAGTCTTGTTAAAATGCTTACTGCCAGGAAACTAAAGCAAAAACTACCTACGACTGAAAGGAGCACTCTACCTCTTACAAATTGCAAGGCCAAGTCCACTGCCAGCAGAATTTTTGGTTGCCAAAGACTGACTTTGCGCAAATTTGGTAAACAGCTTAGGATAATCTTGAGGATTTATTCCCGAGCCTGTATCTTTTACCTACACAAGATAAACAGTAGGTTAACAAAACCAGAGTCAGAAACTAGAGTAGGCTAATATCATGATCTATACAGAGGTCGAAAGTAGCCAACCTGTACACGCAAAAAGAAGTGATTATCACTAGGTACTGGAAAGAAATCAGGAGCTCTAGGATCTCTTAAAGACTCCGCCTTTGCAACAAAAGCAGTTATTGAGATACTCCCTTCTTTTGAGAACTTGACAGCGTTACCAACAACATTAAGGAGGGTTTGCATAAGGCGTTTTTCATCGCCAGTGGCATATTCAGGTAGATCTGGAGCCAAATGCAAGGTAACCACCAATTTTTTAACTGAAGCAATAGGCCTAATCAAGTTGATAACCTGTGACAGAAAACAAAAATATTACATTTAGCCCACGTGAAGCAAATCATACTACCTACCTTACATCACTCAGTCTGGAAGTCAATATGAGTAATTGAGAGAAGTATCATGTAAACTTGCCTCTCTGAAAGCAGAATGAAGATTAAAACTTCCAAGATCAAGTTGAAGGCTTCCATCTTCAAGCCTCGATAGATCTAGCACATCATTTATTAGAGTAGCCAAAAGATTACTACTCTTCAAAATTGTCTCAACCATAAGCCGCTGCTCCGGTGTTAGCTCAGTTTCCTGTAACAAGGAGGAAAGTGCTATAATTGCATGCATAGGAGTTCTCATCTCATGGTTCATCACAGCCAAGAAATCATTGCGGGCACGAATAGCTGTTTCTGCCTCCCTCCTAGCAAGATCAAGGGCAACATTCTGCTCCATAAGTAGATCCCTTGCCCTCATTGACTCCTCTAGGATCGCAGCATGTGACAAAGCAACAGCCACCTATAGTTGGATGATAAATCGATAAAGAGTTAAGACAGAAAAAAAAACAATCATCCATCAATTTTACTCTAATTATCCTAATATTCTAAAACTCTGATGAATTGATAGAAAATAATGAGCATCACCTAACAACCATCAACAATGGCAAACCAGTGTATCTCTGTATGTGTTGCTGGCATGTACAAGTATCTAGGACATCACAACTAGCTTTTTCCCATAAAAATCAAGAAAAATGATGAGTAAGCATTAAGTAAATGAGGTATTTACCTGATCGGCAACTACTTCAACAAGCTCCAACTCATAGGTATGCCACTGCCTTGCACTATCTGAGGGTAGCATTAAGACCATCAAAGCATAGCGCTTGGTTGAAAGCTCGGGCCAGTCATTAATCTGAAAATTAGAGAGATGGAGGAGTGGCACCCGGACAGCAACCACCTCTCCAGGGTACTTTCCAGCAAGAGGCCTTAGTCTAGCCACTGGCGAATTGGGAGAAATTTTCACAGCCCGGTTACTACTAAATACTTGATTAATTACAGGCAGATGGATGGGTACAGTATATCCAACAGGATTCTGCTGCCTTAGAGTGTAGGCAAGCTGGAGCTCCAAACCAGTACGTGTTGGCATCCATAAGGCACATTCTTCCAATGATAACGTCCTACCCAGTTCAACTAGAGTGGTCTTCAGTATAGTGTGCCGGTCAAGAGTGCTTCTGATTTCATGAGTCAACATCCGGACATGCCTCCCTGTCTCTTCCTGAGTCCGGATAAGACCCATTTCTCTATCCAACTCTGCAGCCTTGTTTTTGAGAAATAATTCTCTAGTTTTAACACTCAAAAGATCAGGAATAATGTGCACAAGCATGAGGGCAGTTGCACAAGAAACTACTGCCGTCAAAATTTTTGCCGTTGTCATCACAATGGCAACAGTTCTGGAGTGAATGGTGAAGGTCCATAAGTTAATAAGATGAGTAGCCCCGCAGAGGACTATAAAAGCACCAAACTGCACAAGAACCCATCTATATGGAAACACAGCGGATTTCTTTACGAAGTAGATGAGCTCCAATGGGATCGAGAAATAAGCAAGAGCAATGAAAAAATCTGAAATATATTGATACTTGGACAGCAATTCATCTGGGGGCAACTGTGGTTCGATACAATTGCAAGACTCCATGTGTTCTATCAAAATTAGAACCACGCCAGTCAAAGGTTCCCCCTTCACATATCTGCAACGCACAGATCACGGTCACACTGACATTCAACAAACTTTAAACGTAAAATTGGTATCTTTCAAAATTGGACCTTTTTGCAACAGAAGTCAAGGGGGAATTTTACTCTGAAATGAAATCACAGCACTCTTTCATTATTTTTCCGCAGACGGATTGCAGGAAAAGCAGCTAAAGATTTCCCGAGATACAAAAACCAAAAGGAAATGAAAAAGCAGGAGCATATGAAAGATACAACGAAGTTTCAACCACATTCAACAAGGATCAATCAATTTTGACGGAGACCGGGTAAGAATTTTACAAAGCTGTCTGCTGAATACCGCACGAACACACATCTACAAGAAAAACCCTAATCCGCCACACAGAAAAACAGTGAAGAGGACAGATAAGAGCTCACCGAGAATTAATCTTCCTTCTTTCTCCGATCGTTACATACAGGATTGACTTTGGAATTTCGACTCTTTAGTCTTTTCTCCGTTTGCGGCTCTTCGGTTTCATTTTCCATCCTTTAGCCCGTGAGATGGCGGCTCACTATACAAAAGTAAGAGACCATTTTACGAAAAGGTCCTCGATTTCAATCAAATCACAATGTGAATCATTGCCCGGTTCAACCGGTACCCTAAAAAAACTAGAATACTTCTGGTATGACTGACATGATCGATTTAAGATATCTAAAAAAGTTATGTCATTTTTGTGATTTTAATTAACAGAAAAGGTTGATTCGTTTCTTTAATTTAAAAGTTAAATGTTGATGTAATTTGTTGAATTCAAATATATATGTTTATATGTTTATGTTATTTGTTTGATTCAACTATAAAAGGTTTTGATGTTGGCGGATGACAACACTCAAAAAGGTGTTATAGCCTTCAATTATTAGACATTTTATTGTCATATTGAGCATGAATTCATTTATAAAATGTCATTTCTAGTCTAGATTGCTTCATTTTGCTTTTTCGAGTCGTTTTAGGTTGTATTTAACTTACAAGCGAAAAGGGGAGAAAATGTGGCTAATGTGTAGGACAAAGGGGTGAAAATGAGCAAACACAATGATCTAGGAGCAGGATCTCGACCAAGAAAGCACCCCGCGAAATCAAGCCAGAGGATTCCGGGTGCAAGCTAAAAGATCGCGGCCACGATCTTTTGGACCCAATGGCGAGAACTGTTGATTTATATTGTTTTGGGTACCTTTCTGTAATTATGTTTAATCCCGTAGCTGTCTATTTTATTAGGTTAGTGTTTATTCCCCTATATACAGTCGAATGATGTAACTGTGTAGGGTTAATCCCTTTTGTCGATAATGAACTATTTTGGAGAGCACAACCTCTCCCGTGGATTATTCCTGAGCTTCAGGGATACCACATGAAAATCCTCGGTGTTCTTTAGCTTCGAGTTCGTAGTATTTGACATGATATCAGAGCCTCTACTCTAAAAGTTAATTGGTTTCTTTCGACGGTTGGTTGCGGCTGCGTAGGTTTGGTTTTCTTCATTGCTCTTGGCTGCGCGTGGGTCTTATGGTCGTTGTTTGCGCATAGGCTTGTTGGTTTCTTTGTGTAGCAGCTGCTTGGGTTCCATCATAGGATTGGTTGGTTTTCCTTCGGTGTTGATTATTGTGGGAGGCTTGTTGAGTTTATTATTGGCTTTGGCTCTTGCGTGTTGTTTCTTTCATCACTTGTTTGGAGATGGATCCTTCTCGGACTGACTCTGTTTAAATCCGATTTGATGGTAAAAACTTTTCAATTTGGGAATTTCAATTTAGAAATTTCGTGGCTGGGATGTGCCTCCTTCCTATGTTGACTGGTGAGTTGAAGGAACCTTCGGATGATGCCCCGGCGAAGGATATTGAGGATTGGAGGGCTGCTAATGCGCAGCTTATCACATGGATTGCTGGTACTGTTGATATTCTGACGGTGCTCAGTTTGCGTTGATTTACCAAGGCGCATGATATATGGCAGCATATTTGTAATTCTGATATAATCAAAGTTGCACAGGGTCAAGCTTCTCGAATCAAACAGAACCGGATAGGATGGAAATCGATCGGACAGTACTCACCCGTGAATAAGGGCAATCGATATATGAATCGATCGGACAGATTCAACTCGGAATAAAGGGCAATCGATATGGGTAGCTCGCCACAACCAGGGTGATTACCTAGCTGATAAGAGTCGCTCTAGCACTCTGGAGATTCTCGACAGAGTAATTAGGGCAAATTCCGCGTAGGGAACTCGGCTTTAGCCTCTGAAATTCAATAATAATCGTCTATCTCCAAAACCAACGTGTTCAGCCCTTTAAATAGGCAAAATACAACCCAAATCCGACTCTAACATGGAAAAACAATCATAAACCGACTTTAAAACAAGGAAACTCGGAACAGCCCAGCAAACCCGTTAAGCCCAACCCGTTAAGAAAACCCGTTAAGGCTGGACCCGTTAAGCAAACCCGTTAAGGCTGCTTCTTGCAATCTGCCTTTTCTTCAGCACTTCCTCCTTCTTCCTCCACTCGAATCATCATATATGGCTTCCCTCGAAATAGCTCCACATCCATGGCTCCAAAGTAGCTATCCAAATATGTCGCAAGCTTCTCCTTCAACGTCCTTGCCTTAGCACGTGTGACTGGCCCATTGATGTCCTCATCAGCCCCTCCTTCTTCAAAAGGATTTGCCCTCAAATCCGAATTGCCATCCAAATAAGGTGCAAGGTCAGAAACATTAAACGTTGCACTTACTCCATACTCTCCCGGCAAGTCGATCTTGTAGGCATTGCTTCCAATCTTCGAAACCACCTGGAAAGGACCATCACATCGAGGCATTAACTTTGATTTCCTCTGCTGGGGAAACCTCTCCTTCCTCAAATGCACCCACACCCAGTCGCCAACTTCAAAGTGCCTCGGTTTTCTGTTTTTGTTCACATTGCGCATGATCTGCTCCGTCCTTCTCTCAATGTTCAATCTCGCCTTCTCATGTAAACTCTTCACGAACTCAGCTTTTTTGGCTCCATCGAGATTGACCTGCTCATTCAAAGGTAATGGCATCAAATCCAAAGGAGTGAGTGGATTGAAACCATACACGAGCTCAAACGGAGTGAACTTCGTCGTCGAGTGCACCATCCTGTTGTAAGCAAACTCTACATGGGGAAGGCAGTCCTCCCAAACCTTGATGTTGCTCTTGATCACAGCTCGAAGCATCTGGGATATTGTTCGATTGACCACCTCTGTTTGCCCATCGGTTTGAGGGTGACATGTAGTAGAGAACAACAGCTTCGTCCCCAGTTTGCTCCACAACGTCTTCCAGAAGAAACTCAGAAACTTAGTATCTCGATCAGATACTATGGAACGCGGCATCCCATGCAATCGCACCACTTCCCTGAAAAACAAATCAGCCACGTTAACCGCATCGTCAGTCTTATGGCATGGGATAAAGTGTGCCATCTTCGAGAATCGATCCACCACCACGAAAATCGAATCTCTTCCCTTCCTTGTCCGCGGCAAACCAAGCACAAAATCCATAGAGATATCGATCCATGGAGCATATGGAATCGGTAGCGGTGTGTACAATCCAGATGATTGCACCTTCGACTTGGCCTGCTTGCACTCCACACACCTCGCACACAGATTCTCCACGTCTCCCTTCATGTGCGGCCAATAGAAGTGCTCTTGTAGACAACTCAGCGTCTTGTCTACACCGAAATGTGCCATTAAGCCTCCTCCATGAGCCTCTTTCAACAGCAACTCTCGAAGTGATGATCGAGGAATACACAACTGGTTAGCTCGAAACAAGTAACCATCACTTCGATAGAACTTCCCATCGCCATGCTGCTCACAAGCTCTATAGATCTCCCCAAAGTCAGCATCTTCAGAATAGAGCTCCTTGATATGCTCGAAACCCAAATACTTCACCCCCATTGTCGTGATCAACGAATTCCTTCGAGATAGGGCATCAGCAACTACATTTTCTTTGCCCTGCTTGTACTTGATCACGTATGGAAAGGACTCAATGAACTCAACCCATCGAGCATGTCTCTTGTTCAGCTTGTGTTGAGCTTTCAAATACTTCAACGACTCATGATCAGTGTGAATCACGAACTCCTTCGGCCAAAGATAGTGCTGCCATGTCTCTAAGGCTCGAACTAGAGCATAAAGCTCCTTGTCGTACGTCGGATAGTTGAGGGCAGCCCCACTCAACTTCTCGCTGAAGTAAGCAATCGGCTTCTTCTCTTGCATCAACACTGCTCCAATTCCCAAACCAGAAGCATCACACTCCACCTCGAATGTCTTATTGAAATCCGGCAACATCAGGATAGGTGAATGCGTGAGCTTGTGCTTGAGCAGCTCGAATGCTCTGGTCTGCTCCTCTCCCCAATAGAACTTCACGTCCTTCTTGATGATGGATGTCAATGGTGCGGCAATGGTGCTGAAGTTGGGCACAAATCGACGATAAAATCCAGCAAGCCCATGAAAGCTCCGCACCTCATTCACGTTGGTTGGAATAGGCCAATCGCGAATTGCTTTCACCTTCTCTTCATCCACCTTGACTCCATCTGCACTCACTACAAAACCAAGAAAAATAACACTAGAAGTGCAAAACGAGCACTTCTTGAGGTTAGCATACAATTTCTCCTTTCTCAACATCGCCAACACCTCTCTCAAGTGATTGAGATGATCCTCCATGCACTTCGAGTAGATCAGAATGTCGTCGAAGTATACGACCACGAACTTGCCAATGAATGGCCTCAAAACATGGTTCATCAGCCTCATGAAAGTGCTAGGAGCATTGGTTAAACCAAAGGGCATCACCATCCATTCGTATAGACCCTGCTTGGTCTTAAACGCAGTCTTCCACTCGTCTCCCTCCTTCATACGAATTTGGTGGTAACCTGATCTCAAATCAATCTTGGAAAACACCGTAGAGCCATGTAATTCATCAAGCATATCATCTAATCGTGGAATGGGATGACGATACTTAACTGTAATTTGATTGATGGCTCGGCAGTCTACACACATCCGCCAGGTGTGATCCTTCTTTGGCACGAGAATCACCGGAACTGCACACGGGCTCAAACTTTCTCGAACATGCCCCTTCTCCATGAGCTCGTCAATCTGCCTTTGCAGCTCTTTGGTCTCTTCCGGGTTAGCTCGATATGCTGCCTTGTTTGGAATTTGAGCTCCCGGCAAGAAATCAATTTGGTGCTCAATTCCGCGAATAGGAGGCAGCCCCTTCGGTACTTCCTCTGGAAACACATCCTCGAACTCATCCAACACCACTCTTGCTTCGGCTGGAACTTCTTGGACTAGCTCTTGATTGAGCAGCACGTCCCTGTACATGAGCACAATCAAAGGTTCTCGTGCACAGGTAGCTTGCTTCAAATCTCCATTGCGTGCTAGCATCACTGCCTTCGAATCCACAATTCCAGCTCCCTCTTCTCCTTTCTTGGCCGAGGCATTACTTGCCTTTTCTTGCTCTCGACGTTGCTGCATTTGGAGTTGATCTCGATATACTTCACTTGGAGACA